AGGCTGATTTGTGTGTGCAGCCAGATCGGCTCCCACAGACGTGATGTCTCTGTGGGGCATTGTCCACGGTCCCCACAGGAGGGCATGTCCCCAACTCTAAACTGGAAGCCTTCTGCGTGTCCCAGGCGGGCTAAGGGCGGGCAGAAGCTTGGAGTCTGCATGTGGAGCGAGTCAGGAGAGCTGGCTGTCAGTTTCAGTAGAGTAAGGATCCATGCTTGAGGGACCAGCAGTTAGCGTAATGGCTATGTTGCTGGGCGCCCCTGGTATCGACCGTGGTTCGAGTCCTGGACCCCACCGGGCGCGTGTGCGCGCGTGCCCAAGATCCCAAGAGGAGAATGGAGAAGGGATTGCAGTGTGGCCATCCTCCCGGAGGGGGATTTCTGACTTTCTGTCTTTCTGTCTCGCTCTGTCTTTCTGGTGAGCGCACGTGCCCTACAGCAAAAACCTCTCAGAAAAAAATAAATAAATAAAAGAATCCGCACTTGGGCCAAATGGTGACTGATGACCTTCCCCGGATAGAGGCAGGTGGGTTCTCACTCCCTCCCTCTGTCTCTGGTGAGTGCACAACCCTATGGCAAAAACCTAAGGGAAAAAGTCTTCACTATAGGAGCCCTCTGGTCTGAGCGCCTCCTGTCCCTGTTTGTGACCTAGCTTACCCTTCGTCCTTCGGCAGTTTACCCCGGCTTAGCCTGCCCAGGTGATCCGCTAGCATGAGATGCCATGGGGCTAGGCCTCTAGACTTTCAAGGTTCTGAAAAGGAGGCCATTGGGCTGTCTCTAACGACCTTCCCCTTTAGTTCCCTGGGACCCAAGGGCCGCGCGCACTCGGAGCCCCTGCGGGCCCTGCCCCCAGCCCACCTCTCTCAAACCCTCCTCGAGTGGGTCACTGCCCCGGCCACCTACCTTCCTGAAGGAACCCTGAGTCTGCAGGAGCGTGACGATGACGAAGAGAGGGACGCAGGCCATGGAGGAGAGGGCCAGCAGCCAGCCGATGGAGTAGCCCCAGGGCGGGTACACGTAGACGTTGTTGTATCTGAGCGGGGTGTACTTGCTCAGGGAGAAGAGGAACGTGGCCTGCACAGGGGAGGGCGGACAGGCTGGGACGGGGGCCTCTTCCAGAGCCAGGGCATGGACGCGGATGCCGGGCCCCTTCTCCACGGTGAGTCAAGGCCCTGGCCACCGCGGGCTGCGACAGGAGGGACGGGGGACGGGAGGGGACGGGCAGACACACAGGCCGACCTCTGGCAGTCGGGCAGGAGGCAAGGACCCGAGGAACAGAGGGAGCAGGGCTGGGAGAGGGTGAGGTGGCTCGGTGGGGACCGG